GTGTTTGCTGTTGCTTCTCTAAAAGGTCATGCCCAGCACAAAAGATGTTTGCCCCCCCCCTACCCTTGAAATATGATTTCTTCAAGCTCGAAAAAAACACTGTACCTCTGTACAGCATGGCAAGTACAGACCTTGGGGAACTGCAGCCCTATAAATTTCCCTAAGGAAAATAACCCCTTCTGCTAAAACCCAAAACTGTCAACAAATTAAATTGTTGGTGACCTCAACCCACCTTTACAGAGGGCTTTGATGCCCTTCTTGCAGTGTTTGACATGAGAAACTTTGTTGATTTTCCCCACCATTTTTTTCTGGGGTCCTCCCTTACCAGTAGTGAGTGATCGGCAGAAACAAATCACTTTTCCACCCCTCGGCTACGTTTGGGTCTCTGACCAAAGGCTTTTTTACCACACTTAAAATCCCCAAAAGAACGAGGGGGGGAGTCCCACGCAACAACCTGGGGCTATGGGGAAAAGGTAATTGGCCAGCCCTTTCTCAGCTCGCCACCACCCACTGGATGCCTTTTCCAGGGGGATTTTTTGAACCAAGTGAAAAACCTTTTACGGCAAATCCTTAATCGCAACAAGAACACATTCCTCAACCGGGAATATGTGAAAAAGCCACAGTCACCTTTGGGTTTTGGTTTTTGTTTAGAGAGGCGCTACTGTAAAAAAACAAAGCAGGCGAAGGTATAAGAGAAAACCCCCAAAACCCCCTATAACAGGAAAATTGCACATGCAAACCGTAGGCAAAGGGTGATTTAAAAGTGGGCCTTTTCAAATGGGGGGTGGACACTAAAAGAAAGTTAGAAGGAGGGTAGGCTCCAAAAACCTGGTTCCCGGTCAAGGACAGCAAAATTATTCCTGATGAATTATTCCCCCTCTAAATCGACAGGATGGGACCCCTCACTAGTAGTCAAGAAAGGGGACCCTCTTTGTGAACACTTTGCACCAAAATGCAAGTTCCGATCCAGCAAGGGGGCCCCCTGGCAAACTGCAAGAAAGTGTCAAAATGCGTTGACAAAAAGGAGGGGGGAGGGGCATTTCCTTCTTAAATCACTTGACCAAGAAAAGGCTGGGGCCCGACAATTGAGCCCAGATTGTTGGAAGATGTGCAGACCAGTAGCGCACCCTAATCGCATCTTTCAGACTTTCCTAGTCAGTTAAATGGCCCCCTTCCATGGAAAGGGCAAATGTAGTCCCGTTCCAAAAAAAGAAGAGCAGAGCAAAATCAGCAAAACAGACCAGGCACTCCCCTTTTAAACCCTGGTAAGTCCTTGAGACAATAATCTCAAGGGCAAAAGACAGATTTTTTTTTACTCCACTCATACTTTGTGATCGGCAATAGGCTTCAGGGAAAAATTACCTTGCTGTGATCTGTTTTAAAACCTCTCCACAATGGCACCAGTCACCCGGATGAATCCAAAAATAGCTGGGGTAGCACTGGACATTGCTGGCGCTTTCAACCGGGTTGGGGGACCAGGGGCCCTTGCAAAACTTCAAGCACGGGGGTTTCAGGCCTAGCTAGTCCCCCAGTGATTTCCTTCATGTAATCTCTAAGGATCCCTCAATGGGGAAAGGAATCAAAAGGCATCCTATTGGGCAAGCGTTCCACAAGGAAGTTGTGGTTCCCCCTGTTTTTGGAATGTTACTTAAAAACCCTTCTTCATCTATCCAAATCACTTCTATCGACGACGTACCTGACATTACTTATCCAAGAGAAGAAATGCCGCTTTTTTAAAAAAAAAACACATAATCACCACTGAGAGCTATTCAGCTTGGGGAAATAGATGGAAATAACATTTGCAACCCCGAAAAAAACGCAAAAGATGTCGTCCCCAGGCCCCCTATGGGTAATTCTGGCGCAGTAGAAGGATGATGGGACGATGTTGGGACCTGGAAAGAATTTATATCCCTTGGGGGGAAAAATTTTACTCCAAACTAACCATGAAAAAACCATGTTGTAAACTTTTCAAAAAAAGGCAGCCAGGAAGCTTACCACCTTTTTGCCCTATTTTTGCATCTGCTTGACAGTAAGGGGGTTTCAAAAATCCTGTACGAGGCACAAAAAACGTAAACCCTTTAGTATCTCCACTTTCTTTGGTTTTTGCCCCCCCCCCTCTCATCTGGCGACTGCTTGACAGAAAGACAGAGCAAGAACGTTTCATCTCCTGCCCGGACCCACCTTGGGTAGATCGGGTCATTTTTCAGCAGGCCCTTTAACATGGGGGGATGTGGGGCCTTACGTTTTGTACAAGGCCCAAAATTTTCAAAAAACCACATTGGATCCACTTGAGGGGCAGCGGAAACAAGCTTTTATCCCCAAGACGGGGAGAAAGCAGCAACTTCACTCTGGCGTACCCCTTCTCCAAAATCACTCCATCTGAGATCAACATACCCAGGATGAAACCCGGGATGGAACACATTGTACAGCATAAATGTCAACGAGATAAAGTCAGTTATCAAATGAAAATGGGGCCCACAGTGGTCCAAATTACCCGTTCCCCCCTTTAATGTCCCCATAACAAAAATGCTTCAAATGAGCTGTGTAGGTAACAGCTCTTACTTGCCAAAAAAGTTAGGAATCCTTAACCCCGTAAATAGCTGTCAAAAAGCTAGGGGATCCTTTTAACCTTGTCAAACCCTGTGTAAAAAAAAAAAAAAAAAAAAAAAAAAAAAAAAAAGAGAGAGTTTTAAAAAGAGAGGAAGGGAAAAAAGAAGAAGTGTTAACAAGAGAAGAGAGAGAAAGGGGTGTGAACAAAAAAAAGAGATTGGGGGTGAAAAAAAGAGAGAAAAGAGAAGGGTGGTAAAAAAAGAAGAGAGGGAGAAGAGGGAAAAGAGAGAGAGAGAGAAATTTTTAACAAGAAAAGAGAGAGAGAGAGAGGGGAAGGGGAACAAGAAAAAGAGGAAGAGAGAGGGGGAAAAAGAGAAGTGTGAAAAAAGAAGAGAGAGATGGGGAACAAAGGAGAGAGGTGAACAAGAAAAGAAAGAGAGAGAGGGGGAACAAAAAAGAGAGAGAGAGAGTGAGTGTTAACAAGAGAGTGTTAACAAGAGAGAGAGAGAGTATGAACAAGAGAGAGAGAGAGAGGTGTGTAGTGAACAAGGAGTGGTGAACATAGAGAGATGAGAGAGAGCAGAGAGAGAGGGTCGTGAACGAGGAGAGAGAGAGAGAGAGAGAGGTGTGTGAAAAAAGAGAGAGAGAGGTCGTGGTGAACAAGAGAGGAGAGAGAGAGTGTGTGAACAAGAGAGAGAGAGCAGAGAGATGTTGTGCACAGAGAGAGAGAGAGGAGAGTGTGTGAACAAGAGAGAGAGAGTTGTGAACCAAGAGAGAGAGAGACGTGAACAAGAGATGAGAGTCGTGAACAAGAGAGAGAGAGAGAGTGTGAACAGAGAGAGAGAGAGAAGAGAATTTCAGTGAACAAGAGAGAGAGAGAGAGAGAGAGAGAGAGACGAGTGTGACAAGAGAGAGAGAGAGTGAGAGTGTGTGGGTGAACAAAAGAGAGAGAGAGAGTGTGTGAACAGAGAGAGAGCGTTTGTGAACAAGAGAGAGAGAGAGAGGAGAGAGAGTGTGTGAACAAAGAGAGAGACGAGAGAGTGAGTGTGTTGTGAACGTAGAGAGAGAGAGAGTGAGTGTGTTGTGAACAGAGGTGAGAGAGAGAGAGAGAGACGAGAGTGTGTGAACAAGAGAGAGAGAAGAGAGAGTGTTGTGAACAAGAGAGAGAGAGAGAGAGAGTGTATGAACAAGGAGAGAGAGAGAGAGAGTGTGAACAAGAGAGAGAGAGGAGAGTGTGAACAGAGAGAGAGAGAGAGAGAGTGTGAACAAGAGAGATAGTGTGTGAACAAGAAGAGATGAGAGAGAGAGAGAGAGAGAGAGAGTGAGAGAGAAGAGAGGAGAGATAGAGAGAGAGAGAGAGAGTGTGAACAAGAAGAGAGAGAGAGAGAGATGAGTTGTGAACAAGAGAGAGAGAGTGATGAACAAGAAGAGAGAGGAGTGGTGTGAACAAGAAGAGAGAGGAGTGAAACGAGAGGAGAGAGAGAGAGAGAGAGAGGAGTGTGAACAAGAGAGAGAGAGAGAGAGAGAGTGTGAACAAGAGAGAGAGAGAGAGAGAGAGAGTATGAACAAGGAGAGAGAGAGAGTGTGAAACCGAAGAGAGAGAGAGAGACGTGAACAAGAGAGAGAGAGAGAGATGTGAAACAAGAGAGAGAGAGAGAGAGTGTGTGAACAAAGAGAGAGAGAGAGTGAAACTGTACGTGAACAAGAGAGAGAGAGAAGTGAACGAGAGAGAGAGAGAGATCCCCCCGACAAGAGAGAGGCAGTGTAGTGAACAAGAGACGAGAGAGTGAACAAGAGAGAGAGAGAGTGAACAAGAGAGAGAGAATGAGTGAGAGAGAGAGTGAACAAGAGAGAGTGTGGAACAAGAGAGAGTAGTGTGGAACAAAGAGAGAGAGTGTGAACAAAGAGAGAGAGTGTGTGACAAAGAGAGAGAGAGAGTGTGAACAAGAAGGAGAGAGAGTGAACAATGAGAGAGGTGTGAACAAGAGAGAGAGAAGAGAGAGAGTGTGTGAACAAGAGGGAGAGTGTGTAACAAGAGAGAGAGTGTGTGTGTGTGTGTGAACAAAGAGAGAGAGAGAGAGTGAGTGTGAACAAGAGATGAGAGAGTTGTAAACAAGAGAGAGAGAGAGAGATGAGAGAGTGTGTTGAACAAGAGAGAGAGAGGAGAGAGTGTAGTGGAACAAGAGAGAGAGAGAGAGTGTGTTGTGTGTGTGTGTGTGTGATATAGGCCCGCGAGTGTGTGTGCAAAAGAGTGAACATGAGAGAGTAGGGGTTATTAAAACAAGGTAAGGAATGTATGTATTGTTAAAAAAAATTACAGTAATATTTTTATTTAATGGCAAATATCTTATGTTCTTATAATTTTTCCATTTGTATTCTGTAGAAAAAAGTAAATATATATATTCTTTCAGTTTGATACTTACTATAAAAAACATTGTTTAATGAATCAGGTGGTGGTGATGGACAAAGAGGAAATAATTGTTCTGTTGATTCGTAAGTGCGGTCGTGTAATTCGTCTAGGTTCAAAAGCATCGGTGAAAGTTGAAAAAGGAGTGAGTATAAAATGTCTAATTATAATGCTTTTTTTTTGAGTTTATTGCATTATTTTTATACTTATAACTTGGTATTTTTTTTCTTTGATGCAAACTGTAAATTTATTTATCCATAATTAGGATATGTTCCGGTTATTGACACCTGGAGGGGGAGGTTATGGGACTCCCAGTGATTCTGACATACCTTCCAATGAGTGCCTTGAACCACCTTCCAAGAGGCAGCGGCAGATTGAAAAAGGAAGTGTTTATGAATATAAAAGGACACAAGAAAGTGTATGATAACACTTTGTATATGTTTAGGAACTTTAATAGTTGTAGTCTTGTAAGCACTGCTGTTAACCCATTTGTTATTTTAATTACTTAATGGATAAAAAATGTAATAAATAAAAAATGCCCACAACAATATACTGTAACTTGTAACTAGAACTTCAAGCTAAGAAAAGATTTCACTGGGCCTTACTCATTGTCCATTAACTGTAAATCCTTGATTCTTCCAGGTGACATTTCCCTTCCCTTCATCCCCTGAAGCTGAATCATAAGTAGTGGGTTGTGCTTGGGTGACTTCAACACTTCCTTCCAAGCACATGACATGAATGAAGGGCCCAGCATTTTTTTTGGTTTAATTGGTGTGGATAGTTTATTAAAATCCCAGCACTGGATGATTCCTCAGCAGGTTTAGCAATTTTTCCTTTGAATAAATATTGACCACATGGCACAGGGGTACCATGGACACAACTGTCCATCACAAGAACCCAGAAGGCACTTCAGATGCAGCCAGTTGCTTTAGGGGATCTCAAGACATCCGACTTTGAGGGGCAAGGTCAGCATAAATTTTTGGTCTCATCGACCAGTCTACCAGGGTGGTGTATTACTTTGGACATAGCATTGTGCTAGGTGCCTTCCATTCACTGTACTTTAATATGGTCACTGTATAATGTAGGGAGGTACATAGAGAGGATGAATCAAAATAAGATGAATAGGAGGGTATAATCTGAGGGGTAAGGATTAGGAGGGGGTAAAGAAGATTTTGAGTGCTAGGGACATGAACATCCAATAGGCTTGCATGAGTGCATTAAATCAGAGTGGAGGCAAGAGGTTTTTATGACTTATGTTTTTGGTGTGTGAGAAAGGTATTATAAAGGGATTCAAGAAAACTGGGTAGCCAAACTTGAGTCCTAGAGGTGGGAAGTACAGTGCTTGCACTCAAGAGGGCCATCAGAACTGTGATGCCAGCATGAATCTGGCAAGACTGCATTTTGACTGAATGACAGTGAATGAATTTCCTCTTTTTTGGGTCACCTTGCTTTGGTGGGAGATGGCTGGTGTGTTTAAAAATAGTATAAGAAAAAAGTGGTAATTCATTGATTATGGTATGTTTGCTTTGGGGCTCATTGCACTACATTAAGAATTACACAAAAACTGAGAACCTTTGGAATTATTGAGATGCAATGCGACATCATACAGCCTTATCATTTTAACCCTTTAGACCCAACAATGACAAACTATCCTTGGTTAATTTGTAACCCTTAAAACCCAACAATAAAACTATCAGTTACAGACTGGATTACTTTTTTCTGTAGGTTTCAAATTTAATTTCATCTTTGTACTTTTTCTTTGCCAATTTTTATATTGATAGAAAATACAGTAATTCTAATTTAAGAAGATATTGAATGATCTTTTTCTTTGTCAATTTTAAATGATTCATTTTATAACTGTAATAGTATGGAAATAAAGAACATGGAGTATATTTGCAGATTCATTTATTATTTTTTATTCATAAAATATGAATTGTCTAAATGGTTAAAAAAAACAAGGATTTAACACAATCATACACAGATTTATTTTATAACTTACGTATAAGCTTTACATTATTCACCTCATTTTGAAACACTACAAAGCTTGAGTATTATAAAACTGAAGTAGTGCCTGGAGAAGGTGATATCTCCTCTTATATTTTTTTTTTGTTTTCTCCTGTAACATTCATAAAGTTTATGTAATATGCACATGTGCAATTCAGCTTTAGTTTTTTACAAATAATTTAAAATTTCTAAACTGTTCCCAGATATTGCAGTAAGATGCATCAACATTATATTTACTTGGGCAGATATTTGTTATGAACACATAAATTTGTTTGATTTAAATTACCGGTATATACAAGTTCAGAATTATGCAGATTATCTTGTGGCATTCTGTAATGCACACAGTGTTTTATTACTAACTTATAATCACACTGTGTGTATCATGGCATATCTGTTAGACAATCTGTACAATTACATGCTTCAATGTATTTTAAACATTTGGGTCCCGTTCTAATATTCTACATTATTTGTGAAAAACTTCATCATATCCTTTTATTGTTTAGTATTGAGACATTGTGTTTCTCATCATATATATATTA